AGTAAAGATAAAATTAGTGGGGCCGCCATTTGTCACCTAACTTGGCACAGATACAGCTCCTAAACCTCCTGTTTGAAAACCGCCTTCTTTGGAGCAAATCCAGAAAAAAAAAAAAAAAAGGAAAAAAAAAAAAAAGGAAATCTGGCACACATGCACGTTCCTGACAACTGACAGTTCCAATATTAAATAACTATACCCTGATTGCATTAATTTTTGGAGCTGTATAAAATGTAATCCGCGGCTATACTCTCAGATAGGCGGCGCATGCACTCCTGCAAGAGACTGCAAGGCCGTTTATGTTTTCACAAATTGCAGTTTGCCCGTGTCTACAAATAAAAGCATATTTTAATTACCTCGCAAAATGCGTCTCTGGATTAACAGTGCTGATCTTTTGGGTTATACGGGCCAATAATAAAAAGATAAATCACGGTTTAACACGATACATTCTGAGATTTCCAGTCAGAGCTTGCTTAGGCTGAGCTGTCGGTTTTTATTTATTCCCTTTTTGTTTTTAATTTTAGTCTAACCAATAAAACGACTTAACGACGCTATTAATGCATCTATTATATTTTTCTTAGATCAATAAAGTTTTATTTTGATAGTGTTGTCTATGTACGTCGTGAATTTAGATTCTCCGCGAAAGCACCTTCTCGACGGTTTTGATATTTATCAGAATTTTATTTGCTCGGTTTTATAGACCCTCGGACAGCTTTACTTACAGAAGTAGAATTAAAAAGAAAGTATTTTTCGTCCCCTGGCGTCCACAATATTCTTTAAAATTTCTTTTAAATAGGGGTTAAGCTCCAAGGGACACATTGTTAAGCGCTGGAAATGCAGTAGCTACACCCAGCGCATGCCAAATTAGCTCAGTTTAGTCAGAATTGACCATTATCTTTTATAGTTACGAATCAAGTGAACATTATTAGTTTTACTTCACTGGGTTTGATGATGCTGGTTACTATTTGCCTTGGCCTTGTTAGCGATTAAAGAAAGCGGAGATAATGCAGCGCGGAGCTGAGTTCATGATCTAGACGGAGGCAGTGCCTTGACCATCAAACCGGCACCCTTCGCAGGGATCAACACAAAAACTCACGGCCTCGCTGGACCCGAGAAGGGGCGTTAAACCTCGCAAAACCTAGCAGAGGAAGCTAAAGAAAACTTAAAACCTTCCAAATTGTCCCCGGCTTCCGTGCCTTTTGTCTGTTTTCCCCGCATTAGCTGGCAGAGGGGGAGAAAAAAGCCAACTCGTATTTCTCCCGATGCATTTCGAGTCGTTTTACTCCGGCTGACGAGGATTGCAACCTACTTTTATAGGCCTTTCCCTCTCTTTAATCCAATTTTTTAAAAGGGAGCTGCTTATTTCAAAAACAGCTTTGGAAGGATTTCAAGTGTTGCTCCTCGGTTCCGTATGGCTTTTAGGTTTGCAATCCATTTCTATTTAATTTGGCAAATGCAAAATAAACATACCGCAAGAGCGGACTTCCCCGGAGTAATTTTTATACCTGACTTGTGTAGAGAAATGTATTTGGAAGGCGGTGTTGAGGCTCACGTTTCATTTTATTTAGATCTGTATTTATAACGCTAAGCCTATTGATAATAGCCTTCCTGTATACCAGCCAATAAACCGGTGCCTTATATGGTATTAATTTTGTTAGCAGTGATATGGCCCTCATAGGAATCTGATAAGGGTTTGTCCATCGCACATTAACACATCGTGAGGTTAGTCAGGCTGGGGAAATACAAATAATATTACAGGAGGAGATGCGGGAAAACAAAACAAAACTCAACTCCAAGGTTTTGTGGTGTTTTGCTGTTTTGTTGTTTTTTTTTTCTATAGGCTGTGGGATCTACCCCCGTCACCGCATCCCAGGGGCCGGTCAGAAGGAAGCCGCGCTGTGATGCTGGCCCCACCACACTGCAAAAAAAAAATCAGATTTAATGGGTATCGCGAAGTTGTGGCAGCTTCTCCCTGCGCCGGCGCTGGCCGCGGGTGCGGAGGGAGGCCGGGGAGGGCCCCGCCGGCTCGGCTGGCCCGCGGGAAGGGACCCTCGCCTCCCGCCGCACGGGAGGACCCCTCGGGGGGAACGTCACCCTGCGGGAAAAGCGTTTCCTCCTGGCGGGGAAACATTGCGGGGCGAGACCACGTGGGGCTTGACAGATCCGTGGGGTGCGGGGGGGTAA